ATACTGACATGTCACACTCAAAAGTCTCATTTCAAATGTATGTCTGTTACAGAAAGTGCATTGTTGTGGATAGAGGCACGCAGTTTAGACACACATGGGTTACTGTGCTCTAAAGCTGCATTAAAGAGGTGTCAAAAATTCACCCTGGACAGTAGGAGAGTGTCAGTCAAGTGACAGTTGAAAGCATGAAACTGGCAATTACCATATGTCACAACTTCCTCTCAGTTTTATTATTGCTCCAGTTTGGCCGTCTGACTATCTGTCTGTCTGTCAGATGTGTCAAAAAGTGAAAGGTGTAAGGACAGAGGAAGTGTTGATAAAATGTTCTTACAAAGGTTAAAGCTATACTGTGTGGGATTTTCCTCAAAAATAATGCATAACTTATTCAGATGTAATCCCTCTAAATCATCACATTTGACCCACTAGTGATGTGTGGTGATGTATTTTTCTGCTGAGACTCTGCCCTCTGCCGGAAAAAATTCAGGCAAATTTGTACTGTATATAATGCAAATCATTTTTTCCTCTTTTAGTTCTTCAGTTCTCCTCACATTTATCCCCCAGGCTGGGAACCACTGCTCTAGTAGATTATCTTTTTGACATAGCGATAGTACTATAGAATAAAACTGGTATCATGTTCAGTGTCTGTTCTTTTTCAGACCGCCCAGAGAACATTACCATTTCAATGGACCCGCCATATGCTGTTGAGGGCAGCAGTGTAAATCTGACCTGCCACAGTGCTGCTAACCCTGCAACAGACAACTACACCTGGTACAGGAGTACTTCTTCCAGTTCCAGCTCCATGGTCTATGTGAGCTCAGGACAGGTGCTGTCTCTCCCCTCTGTGGAGGCGTCCCACACTGGACTCTACCTCTGCCAGGCCAGGAACACAGTGGGGGAAAACAACTCAACTGAGTGGCTGCTTGCCATGGAAGAAAAGACACATGGTTTGTGTCATATTTATCTCTCAACGCTGCTTTGTTTCTCAAGAAATGTCATCTGCAGAGTGCTTGATTTCCACTCCACTAACAGTAATCTAACCACACAGGCAGCTGGTCCCTCCCAATCGTAGCTGGCATTGGAGTCTCTCTTTTGCTGACACTTGTGTTGGCTCTTCTTTTGCTCTGGTGAGTCAATGAATGATGGAGGGAGGGAGTGTGACTGAATGACTCATGTCATTATTAATGTTAGCCTTCTCATTTTCCACATGTTGTATAACTTTTTTGATGTGATTTTGTCACAGCTGCATGCAGGTCAGCATGTGCCATGTGTGTCATCTTAATTTCCATTTTGTTGCCACTTTCATACGTGCCATTGTGCTCAGGTATATTAATAATATATTGAATATGTTGCTTGTTTTGTTAAAGTTAGAGCCATGTTTTGTGTTTTAACATATTGAATGATGATCTCTAATAATAAGGGAAACGTTTAGCGTTAGTATCTATTCAAAAAGCCTAGTATAGATACAGAATTCCATTTATTTTTCACTGACTGTAGTTGCAAAGACATATACTGTGAGTTATGATGGTTGCTCTTTTTTTCATACACTGACAGTTTTCTTCAGCTCACCTCTAATAAGGTGAAAAATGGATGGTCAGTGAAAATGTGTGCACTAAGCAGCAGTTTATAGAAGTTTAAAGCTGCTGGGTTTCCCATTATTACAGAACCACTTCTCTAAAACGTGACAGCGAAGATTGAGCAACAATTAAGAATGTTCTTTTTTTAGTGGACGAACATTGATGCTTTTTTTCCCCATATTTACTGATTTACTTTGGTTTTTGTTGTCTTGGTAGGCTGAAACAGAGGACCCATGCAGAGAAAAAAGTGAGTATGTCCCATATAAGTCATTAAATCTCTCAGTAATCTGATTAAATCTCATGATTTAGTGTCATACAAGGATTCTGGGGGGATTTTAAGTTCCCTCTCAAAGTCACAACTAGTAGACATAAAGGCCTTTAAATGAGGATATAAACTATCATAATGGCACTTTCGGTATTTAGCAAGAGTCCCAACAATAAGTTCAAGAAGTAAGATATCTCAGTTTCCTGTGGTGTTTCCTCATTATGAAATTTTGTTCCTAACCTGAACTTCTTATTTTGCTTATGCAACATCAGAAGGTTTAGTGGAGACAAAGCACATGCTGACAAGTTTCCAGTCGGCATCTACAGTGAAACAGTAAACCATAAATGGATCATTTACATTTAGCAGAAAATTTAATCAGAGTTGTCGTGTCTGCTCCAGCAGCCTGTGTATGACTTCAGGCTCAGTGGGAGAGGCTCGAGCTCTTCAGCTTCTGAAGATCTATCTAACAGGATTTATGCCAACATCCACGTGTCGCCATCTTCTCCACCTGTTATTGCTGTTCCGGACGTCACACCCCATTCACAGAGGAAGTCACGCCATGGACATGATGTAAATATGCTTCACAAACATTAATGTTCAATGTAACACTTCCACTCACAACAATCAGATTTTGAATGAAGTCGTTTCTCTCCTCTCCCCTCAGGCCTCCTCGGCTTATGAAGATGAGGTCACCTACTCAACAGTGACCATTACACCCAGAAACCCACATCGCACATACAACAGCAGATCAGCGCATGACTCCAGGTAGGTTAACTGTCCAAAAGCTGACCTGATCACAGCACTATAATGTCACTGCACCTTATTATTCACTGTCAAGCCTGTAGTCACCTGTTACTGTGCAGTCTTAAATAACAAAGTGACTAAAGAAGGAATGAAGAATACAGTATGTTTTTTTAAAAAAAGAAAAACTGAAACTCCCTTTTTTGATAAGTAGGACTGTAACATTTTATAATAACTGACTGGAGTCATGAGTGCATATTCCCTCCTCACCAAAGAAATGTTTGACCGGCCACTAAAAATAATCTTTTGAAATTAGTGCACTTTTTTCCAATCATTTTGCACCACTAAGAACACATTTGTATCACTTGCATCTTTGCACAGACTTAATATGTAATTACACCACCTCTGAAACACACTGAATCACTTTTAGTCTGAAAACAGCATACAACTCTAAGAAATAAAAAAAATTGCTAAGAGTATGACTGGAATTATTATTTATTCATGTTTTCTGTCATTTTTTTATCTGCCAACTTTTCAGATGTTCAGTCTAAATATGTAATCTGGTTTAACATATCAGAATCCACCTTAAAACCCCAACATGTGAAACATATGTGAATAATCTCAGAATGCAAACTTCTCATCAGGTCATTAAAACCCACATATGAAATTCTCTCTATGGCGACAGGCCTCATGCTGCGCAGTTTACTCTGTTCAGTATTATAAGGGTTAATGAATGAAAATATTGCTTGACTGAAGCATCTGTATGTAGTGACTGTATCAGCATATTCAAAGGCTACAGTTAGGTTAAAAATTCACAAAAATTATAATTTCCTCCTCAGGTCCAAATCTGGAGAGAATGACAGCTCTGTGATCTACGCTTCACTCGCTTAATCTGGCTGAGTTTGACTGAAACCTTTTGCTCCTTTGAAGTAGTTTCATCATTATCAAGAAACCTGTGTTGTCTTGTCATGTGGCATGTTACTCTGAAGATAAGTTACGAAGAGTTCAGAGGTCAGTCTCTTAGGGGGGTTGAATAGAGCTATATGTGCAATACTCTAAATACAACCCTGCTTTCACAAGGGTTCAATTTTTTTATTTATAGTCATTTATACTCCAGTGTTTGCAAGGCTTTTTGTTTTTTCTAGTTTGTAAAAACTAACGTGATGAGTGTGCACCTCATCATGTTAGTTGATGAGGTGGTTGTACTACTAAGTGAATAGGCAGGTTAGCGTGGAGGAAGTGGGTATACTCTCCTATATATTGCAATGGCTTTTTGGCTGATAGGTGGGTATATTATAAATGGCCAGAAAAAGAAGTGGGCATACCCCGTATACCTGCGTATACCCTCCACTACACCACTGGTGCTAAGGTATAATTAATCTTTACTGCAGTCTGTACAGTTAATACTTAAGATTTATTACAAAATAAATAAATGTTATGTTATTACACTATGATTATGGGCAAGTTGTTTTTATTTGAATACAATACTCGTTGCAACAGTTTGCATTTTACAATATTTATGTCTCTTGCACACATCATGATTGCTATAAATTTACAAACATTAACACTTTTTCAAAAGTGGAAATATGGTTTGGGACTTTATGAATGGGTGAGGGTACATTATATTTAGGCAAGAGCTAGAAATCAGTGCCAGAAAGGGTTTAAGTGTGTTCACATCTTATCCTTCCTATAGGCCAGGTAAAGGATACAGATTCAGTGATACCTACCGTAGTAGAACTTTACATTAGATTTTTGATGATGTATGTTGACGTCTGTATTGTAAATACTGTTAAACATTCTGTGCTCATCAGAAGAGTGCTGTCATCTTTGTGCCGACGCATACCTTAAAGGTGATCTATGTAACATTCAGAGCGTTAATATAGCAGCAAGCAACTATTTGCTTTGTAAAGATAGAGCAGAGTAATGGCACCCTGAGCAGAAAATGTCGTCACGTTCCCCCTGTGTGTGACATGTTAATGCTTATGTGTATCCCACTGGCTAGTGCATCACCGCTGCTTTGCACTGTGCTCATATGGCTGTTACCAGTAATACCAGGATGTATTATGTAGCGCCCATCCACTGGTTCCCCGTGGCTGACACCGTTAGCTCTGTCAGTACCATAGCTGTTGTTTAGTGCTGTTTGTGGAGATACCACTGTTAGCTGCTGGCCAGCTCAGCCACCTCCATGCTGGGGACCATGTGCACTTAAATTAAACACTCTCAATTTTGTACAGCGCCCCTTTAAAATTTATAACTTGCAGACTGGGTCGAAACCCTTCTCTTTTACAGTCCAGTATAGTCTTGAGAGCTTTAATACAGTGACAAATGATTATATAAATATGTATAGCTGTCCCTTTGTGTCTAGACACAACGGTAATCTGAACCATACAAGTGAGCAAGTAACGATCCCAAACTTAGCATACTGCTGAAATAGTTTATTGTGGTTTATGTTAAATATGACTGTGGGAACAGAGGGGAAGTTTTAGTATATAATACTATACAGTGGTCATGGCTGAGTATAAACAGTCCTGCTAGTTAATAGGATGAGACATCATTAGCATTTCAAATTTGGTAATCAATACATGCTGCAGTAAAAGAAACATTTTCTGAGAACATGACTTGGGTTGTTATTGCACTCTTGGCTTTAAGATCTGTGGATCATGAAAACATCTGTACCATGTCTCAAATACACATCTACATAAACAAGACACTGACTAATATTTACAAGACATTGACAAAATACTGATTTCAATATATGCATCATCTTCACCAGTTCATGAGGGAATTTTAAGAAGACAGACCTTGCATGAATGATTATTTTTCAAACAACAGTCAGGCTACTGCATAAAAAAAAGACATAACATGTATCATACAAGTACGTTGTGAGAGTTTAATTATAAAATGAGATGCTTACCGTGTGACGTTTGATGTGCACTGTGATTTTACAAAATAAAGCTCACCAGGGAACGTTTCAGTTATCTATTAGCATCACTTATAAATTACTGACATTTTAGATCTCTACTTGTTTCTGTCTGTCCGCCCTCATCTTCAAGTTGCACAAAGTAAAAGTACTAAAAGAGTTGAGTTTGCATAAGATCTTTACTGATCATTATTACACTGCACTCACTGTGGCCTGCTGTGCTCACTGGCAGCAGGAAGTCCGTCACTGAAGAAAGTGACTCATGTAGAACATGATAAAACCTCTACATGAGGAAGTCTCTTATTGTTTGAATCCTTGTAATTACATTTAGGATTTTTAAGGGTACAGTTCACTCCAAAATCCAAAATACACATTTTTCCTCTTACCTGTAGCTTTGTATCAATCTGCTATCTTAAATCCAGTATCATTATTCTAATATTATTTGACTTTTGGCTTTTATCAGCAGTTAACTTCATAACAACAAAGTTAGTCAACTTCTGTGACTCTTTGCTCCGTCTGTCTATCTCTGCAGACATACAGAGTATCTATTAACATGGATGCAGTTGGTGGACATTTAACATGTGGAAAGTTCGAGAAGAAAAAAATCTAGGTAAGAAGGAGAATCTGGAAGCTGTGATATGAGGGCAACGTCACAACATTTCATTCCCTCGTCCAATAGTCCTTGTTGACATCGTCAGAGTCTTTTAATATTGTCTTCCAAGAGTAGAAAAAGTGGAAACATGGGAGCAGGAGCCTCATGTCCGGGCCATTTTGTGAAGCCCTGGTGAGCTCTGATAGTTCTGCAAGGGACACATGAGAGCAGAAATGAGTAAACACCCATCTGTTATGTCAAAAAAAAAAAAATACATAGATGTAGATGACTAAAACACCAATTTTGTATGCAACTCAAACATCCTTACTCTGAGCATTACCATTTGTGTATTTGGTCATGGTACAACACTTTATTGAGACATTTTGTTTCCTTAATCTGGCAATTACGTGTTTTGTGTGTGTGTGTATCAAGAAAAATTTGCTTTGCCTCTACTGATCATTCTGTTTTCAATGCTGTACATAAATATGTTGTGATGCGAAATGCTTTGACGTTTAAAAGACTACAGCTTAACACACCAAATGATATTTTTGTTCATGAGAATGAGGCCACATGTGTTTGCATATGAAAGTGTGGGAGTGTTGTTAGTAAGTGGTTTACAGATGGCCTTAATGCCAGCAAGTTATGGTTCTGTTCTGTAGTTTTTGGCAGTCAGTTCATTTAGTATTAGAAGCACAGGTATAATAGAATAAAGTGTCCAGTCACTCACCCTCATGGCCGTAGATATCCAGGGCAGAAATCGGGACACTCTGGTGTAGACGCCAGGTTTCTTGGCCATGGCACAGCCTATTCCCCAGCTCACCACTCCCACCAGACGATACCGCCTGGTCTTTGACAGGCAGTCTTCTACCACAAAAGGACCGCCGCTGTCTCCCTGAAACCACAGATGATTACAGCAGTTCACACACACATTATAACTACCCATTTCAGGCAAGCATGAACAGAAATTCAAGTAAATAGGAATGCAATAACATATCAGTCAACCCAGTATAGGCATTGGGCACACACAGGCATTCAGATTATATGCAGAAAAACAAGCATCAAATTAAATAAAGTTTCATATGAGAACATATTAGAGAATGCAGTTCACTTATTAAAAACCCAAACACACCAGAACGCATACACACAGGCACACTCTGACCTGGCAGGCATCAGTGCCTCCTTTCTCATAACCAGCACAGAACATGCTGGTGGTGATCTGATTGTCGTAGTAATCAGGAGCATTACAGACAGCATCGCTGATGATGGGGACGTTTGCTTCCTGGAGAACCTCTGCTTGAATACCTGCGAGTGAGAAATAACAAAAACATTAAAAACTTGGCACCAACCGCCAGACGGACCAATGGACGAACAAACCGAAAACATGATGCAAACAGTGTCATCCAACATCAAAAAACATTGTAAAGCTGTAGTGAAATGCCGACTCACCATAGTAATCTACGTTTCCCCAGCCTGTCACTGTTCCCATCTGTCCGTCTATCAGTCTTTGACCATATGCTGGCAGGCAAATAGGCTGGATATATTCTATACACAAGGACACAAGCATAGGTATTAAGATATTAGTAGACATGTGTACATAGTAATACTTCACCATCAAACACACAGTCATCCAAACCATTGCAACACCTGTCAGGACAGGGTCCCTAATCAGGGATTCAAACACTTAAATACTCTAAACATGTTAAGTAGCACTTAAGATTAATAAGTTCCAGTTTATTATATCCTTGCATTCAGTCTTCCCATGAAAGTTGGAGATTCAAATCATCATTTGAAGGCCCCTCAGTCAACTGAGATTGTTTAAGTTGAGCAGTTGTTTCTTTGTTGTTCACTTATCAGTGAGCTTTGCAGTGTACTTCGGGAGACGTTTTGGCCCCAAGATTTTGCTACACAGTAAGCGCTCTTGAGTTTTACGCTGCTCTTTGGTAGAGGCAACAGTGGACACGATGTAGTGGCCCAGAGGAGGAGAAACTTTGCACAGTAAGGCTCTGACATAACGTTATCTTGGTGAACGTGGTGAATTTACAGCTCACAGAAACATACTACCATACAGTCTCTTGCTTTTGTTTGATATCTAGTGTTGGTAAGAAGAAAAAAAAATCCTATCTGTCATTTGCGCGTTAGTTTACTACATTGCATGATTGCAGCTGTCACACTCAACATCCCGCTGAACCCCATTCAAACTCTCAAACTCTATATGGAATAAAAAAGAAACGAATCATCAAAAATACATATTGAACAACCAAATCTGATTCAACTGACATAATTCTGTATTGTGGACTGCCCTGGTCTTTGTAAATGGATGCCTGGAGTAGTCACTGGCCAAGAAACACCATTCATCAACACCATATACAGTAATAATGAACTGAAACTGTAGATTTTTGTCAGTTCAGTATATTTCTAGGTTCTTATTCCCATTTCTATGTAATATCTTTTCAATTATTATCATCTGTACACAGGATAAAAGAGATCAAGTCTCACTGAATCATGCTGTCGAAGTCAAGGGTTAATTAATGAACAAAACATGTATGAAACAGGTAACTTAAAGTAATAATACAGGAGATTAAAGCTATTAACCGCATGATTTTCTATTACTCTATAAACAAAACTGAAACAGTGCATTGTACAGAGAGCCATTTGACTTAGACTATCCTTTGCTTGTGTTATTTTCACTCCAGTGGACCTCATGTTGTGGTTGTAATTACAAAGGCCAAACACTAGATGTCAGACACGATACACTGAAACATTCCTTTTAGAGTTTCTTCTTCAAGTGTCTTCTGTTGCATAATAGGACACAATAACTTTAGCTAAAAACTGTTTTCAGTATGACTGTGAAACAAGTTTCACTTACCTTTCAGAAACTTGAGCCACTGTGTTCTTCCTCTATGTCTCTATCTCGTCATCATTTTGTTTTCTTTTTTGGACAGATGTAATGGTAATACAGTGTATCTGCACTGAGATATTTGTCATTTGTCTACAACCCGTTAAGTATGTTGATATAGTTTGATTTAGTTGCTGGACTGTTAAAAATGTGCAGAGCTGTGGCATACACTGTAACCTCTTTCTCTCTCAAACCAACAGTATAATGCCTGTGTAAATCACACTTATACTTCTCCTCATCCTCTGGCATGCATCAACACTGACAGTAACATAACTGACAGACGGACAACACTTTTATTAACAACTGCAACTGTCTCATCATCAACATGTGAATATTTAACTGGAGGAGTCTTTATAAGAAAGCATCAGACACAGGACATAGGGGTGGTTACATCCTGTTCAGTGCTGATATATAACTATGTTGAATAAAAGAACTTTTGTCCTGCTGACTCAAATCTTGGAAACAGGAAACCTAAACGAGGCGAATGACCATAATGACTAACTCTCTGTGTCCCCCTGGTCCTCTCTATGTCTTTGTCCTCATCTCTAATCACTGTCATTATTTAATCAAATAATCAGGTGATTATTTGTGTATGGCGTTGTGTGCGACCTACCGTTGAAAGTGAGGGGGTGGGTGAGGGCCAGAACAGCAATATCCCTGCTGTTGTCATCAATGCTAGCATCTACAAAGGGCAGGTAGCTGCTGTGGTAAACAATGGTGTTCACCTCCGCCACGTTGGCATTGACTGGTTTACTATAGATGGAGCCCAGCAGCACACGCCAGCGATTGACAGTTCGATATCGCCTAGCATGAAATAAAAAAAGAATAATCCAATTAGTCTACCACATGCTTAAAAACAAAACCTGATTTCTGTAAAAATCCAGGCTTGATTACTCACTCTCGAAAGCAGTGAGCTGCTGAGACAATCCAGCGGTTTGAGATGATGGCTCCTCCACACTGATGAACTCCATCATACTCTAATCTGACCTGCCAAGGCCAACTGCCCTGCCTGGCATCCACACCTCCAACTATGCGGTCTGCTGCGAAACTACGCCTGCCACAGTCTGCCAAGGAGACAGAAGAGAGAGTTTCCTGTCTTGGTAAACTGTAGGTGAAAGATTTAAACATATATAGAAACAGAGAAAGACAGGGTATGCAAGAATGAGAATGGGTGAGTGAAAGAACAGAAAACCAGTGCCATAAAAACCTAAAAAGACCAGATCAGACCAAAGATTCACGGTGAGACAAAACAGTTTACAAATGTTGCAGGGAAAAAGTTGCAGTGGCGTGAACGGACAGAAGCCATTTCTACCTGAAAAGCTGAAAGTTTGAACTGAAATACAGAGTCGCTGCTGTGGAGGCATTAAGCCGTCTTGTCTAGTTGCATTGGTGTAAACCACAGACAGTAAACTATATAGACTCACTGGTGTAAACTGGCAGGTTTTCAGAACGTTGCAGACAGGTGCATTGCTTGTGACAAGAAGCGTTGCAAGTTTCAACTTGTCTCGTTGCGAATCTTTGGTCTGAGCAGGGTTTAAAGGTGTACTATGCAAATCTGTCGGTCACTGATTGTAAACACACTCGCCAGTGAAAATTAAGACAATCCCAGATTCTCTCTGGTTTGGTGTTTCACCTTGCTATGTTTCTGGTTTTTCAACACTGTATGTCTTGGATGCCTGCTGCTTACAGTCTGGCACCTGGTCACTACCTTTTCATAAAGCCACAACCTCACCTGAGCACTGGGGGGATACACACCCATAAACATCCCGGAGACAGAAGAGAAGAGGAACATACAAAGGGCCCACACACTTCTAGCGGGTCATAAGTGATGACTGAGAGGGATTACCTCTGTATGAGTCTATACATTGTTTTTTTTTTTAGGAAAATCCTGCATAGTATATCTTCATTTGAATGTTAGTTAAGCAGAAAGATGGACAGAAACACTGACAGACACGCTGGCAGGCTGAAGAGTAAGAAACATATATAACAAGGTGTATGGCCCAGCATGTGTTGAAAGATGAGCGGTGGGTCTACGGTATCTGAATATAAAGTGTGCCAGTGTGTCAAACAGAAGGAGTGCAGATCTGAGCTTACATCTTACCTTGACACAACAGTGTGAGAACCTCCCTGCTCTCACAGTCACTGAAACAAAGACAGACAAAGTTAGTAACAGCCTGACAGAGGAAAAGAAACCATCCAAACAGCAGTGCTCTCTGTGTTAACCGAGTAGATGAGTGAAAGAAAAGGCAGCAAGACCAACAGAGAAGACAGTGTGGTTGAAGGTTAGACTGCTGTGAGACAGGTGCAGGATCAAACAGGCAGGTGTTTGTTACCATGGGAACAATGAGTCTTTGATTTTCTTGCTGTAGCTGAGCTCCTGCTGTCTGACACAGAAGAACTCTCCGCCATCTCCACTGGCCTCTGGCACAGATGTCACTGAGTAATTCACCACACTAAAACAAACACACACACCTCAGTCCTGTATCACACAATGCACAAAAACACCAAGATATAACTGTAAAAATATCTCACCTGATAAAGCCAACTTCTTCACAGCTTATGCTAGCTAGCAGCTCATTGGCTGGGGAGGAACACACCTGGCGCCACCTCTTGTGGGTCGAGTCAAATACCCGGAGACGCTGGTCAGCAGAATTTACCTGGACTGCAGGGAATGACATAGGGATACTTTTAAAACAAGCTGGATACAATACAATAGCATGCACTTCTGCTTATCTGTAATGTATATTTTCATTTTCTCACTGTGATGATGATTGATGTTATTTTTAATGAGCCCAGAGATATTTACCTGCTTCTATCCTGCTCCTGTTCAGCAACATGTGGCACACAAACATATCTTCCCCTTGCCTGTTTGTGCATTAAACCTCTGAGCTGAGTCTGTTTTGATTGGCAGCGAAGCTACTTTTGTTTTTAGCTACTGTAGAACCTTTTTAAAAATGTAATTGTCTTATATTTGTTTTTCACTCAGGTAACTACAGCATAGGGCTGCTCTGTTGTTGCAAAAAATGTTATCAAGATTATTTTGGTCAATATTGAGATCACAATTATTAATCACAATAACTCACTGAATCTGGAAAAATAATGCATTTATTGCACATTAAAAATGAACTTCTCTTTTTGGATTTTGTTGAACTTTAAATATAATTTGATTGAAAAAAAATTATATAAAAAAAGAGAGAAATAATATCAAAAATAGGCCTATACAAAAATAAACATACTGCAAGACTTGACTTGGAGACACCCTGAGCTGTTGGCAAAAGAGCTGTGGACTGCTCTTACTCTGAGCAGCATGCATGAATGAATTAGAAAACAATATATTGGAATATATTCCTAGCTTTTCCCCTGATGGTCGCTGAATTTGTTGCTAGTCTCTTTTTAGAAATAAAGTTACTGTGAGAAGAAAAGTTGCTAAATGTAGTAAGAAAGTAGGTAAGTTGGCAACAGTAAGCACACCGCTGTAAAGACAAGGCTGAGCTGGATTTATTACAAGACAAAAACAAATCAAATGCGGCATAGTAGTCGCTTCATCTTGATTATCTTATTATACCATAGGAATAATAATAAAACTTTGTTTTATAGCATTTTTCATGCAAAGTGCTTTACAAAAATTTCAATGTCTATGTTAAACTTAGTGTTTTATTTCTGCGAACAAACCAACAGGACCAAGCACATACTGTTTCCCCCTTGTGGAAATAAAAAAGATATGTAATTCAAGTTCAGGTAGCATTTTTCTTAATATAATAATCAGAAGTTACAGCTCCTCTGTAGACATTAAGACTACAAATGTGTCCCTGTGATATCTAATGTTAAGTATAGCTGTGCCTAAAATCTGGTAAAAGACTGGTAAATAGAAACCCATGAATGTGAAACCATCACCCTGTCCTCTTTGACTCACCATCATACAGTCCTGTGTCTTCCTCCATTGTGCAGTATGAAACTACAGAAGGGTGACAAAAACAGCAGTCACTAACAAATAATGAAAGACTGATCATCAGATTTTTGATCGTGAGCACTACACAATATAATCTACAAATCATATGTTCGGTGAAAATATGTGTATGTAAGTGTGTATGAGTAAAAGCATGTGGTCTGACCTACGGCCCAGACAGCTGCTCCAATGGCTCCCAAGGTCATCAGTGTCACACATACCCCAATCACACGGCAGGGGGTCAACACACAGGTCAGGGAGATTCCCCTGTTCCCTGCAGTCACACACACATATACATGAATGTACATACACTTATTTGACAGTATATATAAACAGAGACACAAACATGAACTGCCATATTATGCACATGCAGCAAACACAGGTGGCTGAAGAAGACTTAGGTGATGAAATCAAAACAACAAATAGTATAACAGTAAACTAAAGTTAACTGTGTTGCTGCTGACAAATATATGTACGTACAAATATTTGACAAAATAATACATGGCAGAAGTTGAGACTAGTATTTAATCTGGGCTCTTTTTTTGGATAACTAAGCCACCCTACAACAAACATCAGCAAAATGACTGGTATCAGCTCACTGTCCCACGTGAAGGGGCATGCTGCACATTTCCTGGCACAGAATGAAAAGTACAAATGACACTGTTTCAATCAATAGTCTAAAGTCTAGCATTTCTCCACAAAGCAAGAACAAACTTTTAAACTAGGATATAGTGCCAAGTCTGCCCCGCGTGCACATACAATATGTGTGCGCACATGCATGCGGCTGTTGCTCTCAGCATGTCCCTCTCTGCCCCTGTTGCTGCTCTGAGCACAGTTTATCAATCTGACCCACAACTTAGAGTTAATACACATTTTCAGTGCAGACATATTATGAAATAAAAAAGCAAATATTATTGAATACACAAAGATCCTCTCTTCATGTGAGCTGTCAGCCTGCCAGGCACATATCTTATCATTAAACACAGCTCAACTCATTTCACTTCCCATTAACAACCATTTGCACAAACGGTCATCATCATCATCATCAGCAGCAGCAGCAGCAGCAGCAGCGGCAGTTAGAGCAACAGTGCAGACAAAAGCAGGAGGCTAGGTTACATTTCTTGACACAGACACACACATCAATCTGTTGCTTTAATCTTTGTGACTCTTAATAAAAACTTCATGTGGCCACTAACCACCGTGCTATATTAATGGGAAAAAAAACCCAATAGGCCTTTTTCACAGAAGTCATTCTGCCTTGTCACAGATCGAGCTCATTATATTGATGAACATTCCACTTTAAAGGTCCTGCACACCCACACAGATGTTTGTCAATAATTATGGCTTATTACACTTCTGCTTATCAAATTAAAACAAATCTAATCAAATCAAACTACACTTTATTAATATAGTATCTTCCATACAATCATGCAGCCCAAAGTGTATGTGCTGTATTCAAAAGATTTTAACCACTTTATCTTGCCATCAGACAGCCCTTTCAAAAAGAGAATTGTAAGTGAATATCTTGACATTACAACAATAAGTGATAAAATATTTAAAATAAATAACATTTAAAAGAACAAATTCTTACAAATAAAAGTAGAAAATGCCAAGGACAAGATTTAAAAACAGGGGCAATAAATGTACCATTATGTTAAAGCCACGCTAAAAGCATGTCTTAAGGTTTCTTTTGAAGATGCTCAAGTAGACTTGAGCAGCAGTGGCTAAACACTGATTCCCCATGAATTTTTGTTGAAATCCTAGGGACAACCAGCATGCTAGCAGTAGAGGAACTGAGAGACCTACTAGGCAGGCACATATCTAAGAAACATGTCTGAGAGATAAGCTGGTGCCAGGCCATTTGGTGATTTCAAAACTACCGAAAACTAATCTTAAAATCAATTCTTAATCTGATAGGCAGCCAATGCAGTGACTCAAGAATAGGAGTTATATGTGTTCTCTGTCTCAGCTCTTTTGGGTAGACCAAAAAAGGCAGCATTACAATAGTCAAGCCTAGAGGTAACAAAGGTAACAATGCGTACGTTTTTCCGTGACAGCCTGAGAAATAACATATCTAATGTGCGATTCAAAGCTGAGGTCAGAGTGCAAGATAACCCCAAGGTTTAGACCTGCTCCGTGGTATGGAGAGCTAATGACTGAAGGTGTAGAGACAGTTGTTCTCTCTGGGCTTTTGCTCCAAATATTATGATATCAGTCTTGTCTTCATTCAGGAAGTTAACTGACATCCATACATTTATGTTGGCTGCTGAAGCTGGGTAAAGCTATTAGATTTATGTGTCATCACCAGTAAGTACGTTTTTTTAGCCTAACAGGTGCAACTTACAGGAGACTTTACCTTTTTTCACAGCAGACATTTTGACTTGTCAGGAATAACAAAGGTGTTGCTAATAACATGGCTGCATTAAATACTGTATAAGTATTCAAGTAAGCCATCACAGTGTGACGGTAAGCAAGCATGCACAACACCAGGCCCCTGAGCTATGGAAGCTGAAGGAAAAAAATATGGTGTCCCTGCTGAAAGGACAAACGTAACCTTAGGTTATGTACATTAATATTAGCTATTGACTGTAAAGTCTGTGTTTGATATTTTTGTTATAAAAGAGCAGGAAAACTGAGCTGCTATGGAAGTAAGTGGACTTTATGTTTATTACACTGCATGAGACACTCAGGAGTGTAATAGTAATACTTTCCATCAACGTGCCAGGAAACAACTGGAGATACTGTAAGTATATGAGTCTTCCTTTCTAATCAAAGAAAACACTCTACATGCCAAGTTTCCTTCCTGCCAAGGCCTACCTCCGACATGCTCTCAATCTTATTTTCTTTAAAAACAGTTGAAGGAAAGAAATCATATGTAAATGTACAAAGGAAAGTTGTTTTGTGCTCCTGGACAGTTTTTCAGGATAGTACCCACATCAGTTAGTGAAGAGGTATTTTTAATTTCCTCTTTAAAGGGGGCACAGCAATGCTGGGCTTGGTCAACATTTAACAAGTCATGCATGTGAGTCTTTAGGTTAATTTGTTAACACACGCAAACACACACTCCACTAATTGCTTGAGAGAGCCCACTTGCAACCTCTGGGAGTTGACTGCCACAACCCAGCACATCTCAGCTACTTGCCTTATACTCTACCAATAGCTACAGTCAGACATAAACACAGCCTCTGATTGGATCAACAAAGGCATCATGGACAGCAACAATAACTGTGTTCGACACAAAAAAACGGATTAATAATCACAGAGGACATTCAGTATCGGATTTAACTTTATGGACATATTTTACAAAGACACCGCAGTTCAAAGATGAATTACAAAGCTTCTGAAAGGGATGTAATCACTGAAACGGCACAACAGTTAGCAATAGCTTCTGGGCTAAAAAAAGTCTCTCTTGCATGCAGCCTTCCAGAGATATTTAATGTTATAAGGTTATGTCGTGGATGACATTGTTAACTTCAGAGTTAATTTCTAAAGTGTCTAAAGTGTGTTCTCATCAGTCCTGCTCAACAACACTCAGTGGTGAGACAGACTTGTACATGAAGCTCAGGTGGAAAAGCTCCACTTCAGTGATAACGTACTCAGTTTATTTTCAGATAATGTTTCAACTTATGTGACATTTATTTTTCATTGCGTGATCAGACAACTGCATGAGGCGTTCCACCTGCCAGAAGACAGAGTTTACGTACCATGTGCAAGCGTTAATGTTGAGCACTGGCAACTCTTGTATTTCATGTCATTGTTTTTTCTTCAAAATTATGCAGTTAGTTACTGGTTAATGGGTTAAGGGCTGTCAAAAGCATAATTACCTGAAACTGATATCCCTATGAGGCACTAACAGTTATCAACTCAAAGTTAGTTTTCTTTGTTTATGTGTAGACTCCTGAGTCTTGTGTCCCAAGCTGTGAAAGTAAACAACTACAGGAATGACAAGGAACCAGTGTTGTAGAGGACCACATACACTGTTTGGTCCCACTGTTGCCGAATTTCTATGTTGTTATCAAGAAACAGGATAGCTGTGTAGACCTACTAATCCACTGACCCTAACCTCCTTCTAAGCTATCTCCTCACATCTGCTCCCTCTCTCTACACTGCAACCTCCCCCTGGCCAACTCTACCTGCACCTTGTCTGCATCTGCCTCTGTACCCATCTCTCTTCTTCCTCTTCCCCCCTCTTTGTGCCTCCTGTCTGCTCCTCCTCCTCTTCGGTACCTGTCCTCCTTTCCCCCTTACTTCCTCAGACTTGCAAACATTCAGTCAGCATGATAATGATGTTATTGTTTCTTGGATTGAAAAAAAAATGTGATTTATAACTGACCCAAAGGTCAGAGAGCGACAAGGAGAACTGAAGCAGAAAAATGTGAGCGAGAAAAAGGAGTGAAGACAATGAGTATCTGATAAATGCCAATGGACATGTTATCTGAGGGACATCCCAGGCTCCTGTTCATTCTTTCAGATTGTGTTTTCCAGGAAATACCCCAACATTTCCTCAAGTCCAGCACATACACACCTACACTAGTGCTGCCCACCACCCTTGTTCACAGACTCTGTTCTTCTTCTTTCTTTCCTGATCTCTTCCCCCTAACACAGCACTCTTCCCAATTAAATTGCAGGGCAGAACAAGCACTCTATTGTGTCCACCTCTACCTGAGACCACCCTCTACCGTGTGTATGCGTGTCTGCATGTGTGTGTCATGAGTCAGGGTTCTTCTGAAATCACTCTGGTATTATGTGAAGGTGAGTACTGCAATAGTAAAAGTTGGTAGACAGTTGTGAGTGCAGTTCACTGAATGTTGTCAAATAAGCTGTATTATAATAACATGAATACTGTAGAGCTTTCGCATTATGTTTTAAGATTAAAACAGGGTTCACCAATGCAAGTCAGAATTGTGAAACTGGATTGGACAGTGAGTGTGTTATTGTATTTTATACAACAGTTAGTTCTGACCGAGTAATTTGATTGGACGAGAGGCATTCCATGAGTGCTGATATAAAGTACATCACTTGGACATGTAACAGTAAAATCACTCCGCTCACAGGTGTTATAAATATAAATACAATTGTTAATTAACCAACTGTCACACCCGCTACATTGACGCAAACTGACACTATAGCATTACACCAAGAAGGTGGATATTATTATTACTGATGCGGATGAGATAGAGTAGAAGCTGAATTCGGCTGTGCCAACATCCAGGTTTGCCAACGTTTCATCAGCCCAACTGGACAAAGTTACGGCCTGCGGCCTCGTGCCTATGACCGAATCACAGACATGACGATATACAGTACAACATCACTCCATTGCTGAAGTAAGTATTGATGGAATGTTATACTAGTTAGTTGATGGCAACATTACTCTATCTACAATAGAGCTGCTGTGATAAATTAATAAATCAATGAGTTGTCAACTATTAGATTAATTGCTAACTAATATGATAATTGATTCCAGCTTCGTGATTGTGAATATTTTCTGGTTTTCTGTACATCTCTCTGACAGTAAACTGAATGTCTTTGAGTTGTGGACAAAACAATACATTGGAGGACATCATCTTTGGCTTTTGGAAACACAAATAGTCATGTTTTCTTACAGCCTATTCATTTAAAAACCAATAGCAATTTGACAACTTGACCAAAAGATGTGATCAACTGAGAAACACTTATACTTTCTTCAAAATTGTAAACAACAAACTTACTTATGCTCAATTTATGCACAGTAAAATATGCATTTTCAACAGATGGTATATAATACGGTACACAATACATCACTGTTTTTGTTGTCCACCAGGAATATTTCACAACCTGTGGTGAACATTTAGGGCTTCCACAGCGTGACTGGGTAGTCTGTTGTTATGGTTTGTTGCTAAGGTGGTAAATAATGTTGGCACGAGAGGTACGAATTAGTCATCACGTTCTGTTTCTGGTCCATCCACACAAACACACTGTATATACATACATTTTATTCTGGGTTATTTCTGTCCTCAACCATGAGTCACATGACCAGACAGAAACAGTAGGATGGAAAAGGTTCACTGTGTCATGACTCACTCACTGGGATGTTGGGAGGGATACCCTTAACTTTGCACGCATCACGCCCTCCCCCTCTAGCAACACACTGTTGGGTGAAGCAAAGCAGCTGTGTACCAGATGAGATATGTGGACACTTCCTCCCCTCACCAACATTGAGAGAAAAAATGCACAAAATGCACAGACAACACATTCCACATTACGCAAAACAATCCCTTTGTTGGATAAATCAGCCAAGTTTTCTACTAAATGATAAGTTAATCTGTAATTTAAGATACAAAAGAAATAACACATCATATGGTATTTTTCTCATATGAAAGCTTTTTAGTTTCAGAAGTTTCAAAAATGCTACTGACAAATTGTAACTGTTTGTCTTTGAAAAACTTATAAACAGAAAAGGGTTTCTCAGAAGTCATGGCTAGAAGCAGTAGAAGTCTATTTCCCTGTGGTGAACCCTCTGGCACTCTTCTTTTTCAGTGTTGGTCATATAGGTTTATCAGACAAATCAATCCAAACTCAAGGTCTGTAAAACCGAATCACAATGTTTGTTTACAGTAACTTCTGGGTAAAAACGTTCTGTGTCACGTAGATAAATCGAAACAGCACTGACTAAACACTGCCTCAGGTGGTCCATTTTTGGCCACCTACAAAAAGGCCCACCTGAAAAAACCAACATCAGTTAAGGGTATGTGCTACATTTTAAAGATTTTCACCGCTTTACCTTACCATCAGACAGCCCTTTCCCACAGAGAACTGACGCCATTCTCTCTCAGCCACCAAACTCCAATGACAAAAGCAGTAATTTTTCTTCGCAAAGCACAGGAGTTGGAGTTGGGGTGGTGCATTGGTACAGTGGTTAACATTGCTGTCTCACATCAAGAGGGTTCCTGGTTCTAACCTGGGGAGGGGGATTCGAACCCTGGGGTGGGGGAGCTCCTCCGTGTGAAGCTTGTTCTCCCCATTTCAGGGTGGGTTTTCTCTGGGTACTCTAGCATCCTCCCACAGTCCAAAGACATGCAGGTTGATTGGTGACTCTAAATTGGCTGTGAATGTGAACAGTTGTCTGTCTCTATGTGTCAGCCCTGTGATAGTCTGGTGACCTGTCCAGGGTGTACCCCACCTCCCACCCAGTGTCTGCTGGGATAGGCTCCAGCCCCCTCGCAACCCCCTAAAAGGATAAGCGGACACAGAAAATGAATTAACAAATGAAGTTGCTGGTCTACCTGGTCAACTTGGTCTACCTCGATTGGTTAGTTTGTAGGGTACAGCGGCGAAAATAACAATATAGCATTCACTTAAACTGATATTTCTTTTTTGGGGGTGGCTAAAATTTGGTTTATCAAAGACACTAGCAAAGCAGCACAGTACATAAAATTAGCACAGCAGAAACCTCAGATAGGTAAGACCACCATGTTTTACTATATATCTTACAGTTATGGCTGAAATTGACTAAAGAAGTAAACGCAGTAAAAGTCTGCTGATTTCACATATCGCCACAATTAAATTAATGACCGGTTGTCTATCCAGGAGTAATTGTTGTTGATTGTTGTTGACGCCATGATGATTTTAAGCTTTTTTTCACAGTTTGCCCTGTTGTCATGAAGATGGGTCTGACATGCAAGCAAGTAACTGCTTTAATTTCATTAATATCACTTTTATGGCCTCTTGTTTGTGCTAAAAATTTGTCATGAAAGTTAATTTTTGACCTTGAAAACAGAAGCCGATGTGCATGTACCATGTTTTGTTGTTTTACATATTAGGTTTATGTCTATCAGGTCTCTTGACCCACTCCACACCTCACTGCATAGTCAGCATCTGGTGAATGATCCTTTGTCCTCTTAAAGGCACTGACATTTGGACTGTAGGAAATTAGTGTCAAACCAGGACAATCAGATTTTCAGACTTTGAATACGAAAAGGAGTTAAAAGGACTTCAAACTGAATACTCAAGAATCTTTCCTTCCTGAGTAGACTGATGTGAATCTCAATGTGGTAAGAGTGGTGTAAAGCAAAGATAACAGTATAGAAGCAGAGGAAAACCTCGCACACACAGAGATGAAGACAAAACAGCAGCTCTGACTCATACTTGTAGTGGTTGTCATGGCAGAAAAGTAAAAATAAACACAACCATACTGTGCCGTAAATATTAGTTAGATTAGAAATACACCCTGCCCTGTGTGATGGGACTGTTTATGTGTGATCATGCATATCCGTCTCTGTACGTGCTCACATGTGTGTCACGCTTAAGGTAAACACAGCTTGTTTCTGAAAACAGATGATGTCCCACCTAATCTGAGCACAGACTCACACAAAATAAGCCACACCATATGTGCCCCTCCTTGGCGAGACTGTGTTTCTCTTGTAATTACACACACCAAGACGCCGCCTAATTCATTGCATCTGGGTGAACTCCCTTCAGTCAGAAACTACAAAACCAAACGTTAAGCTGAACATGTACAGACACAGAGCGTAAGTTACAGCACAGCAAGGACACCAAGAAAACCTGTTAATGACAACAGCAGAAGACAAAGAGATGATGTCAGTCTTCAACTAAAACTTGATGGGAGACTACTGGCTTCATCGTACTGGCACTCAACTTGTCCCAACGTAAGGTAGGTGTGCTGTTGTCTGGCGGGGTTATGGGTAAAAACATATAAAAGGTGAATTTATTGTCTCTATAAAGTGGCCAGCATTTGAGTTACACAGTTCACACTGACAGTGCTTTCTAGCAACAGTAAAATAGAGCAAGTAATCTTATCTTTACTTCCATAACAGCATCATATAATAATTCGCAGTAAAGTCATTAGGAGCCATAAGGCTGCATATCTGTCCAACACCTCCAACACAGCATTATAGCTCATGCAACGTAACAGGACAGATGTGGATTCTCTGGTTTCCTTTTAAATGTGGTGTTTACTAATGGCGATGTGTTTGCTGGAGGTAGGAGAGCTTCATATTGACAGCAGCGTTGGTACAGTGAGTTTGTTTATGACTGCCAGCAAGGGCATAGGTTTCATTTCAACATTTTTGGGGGGACACAGGGTCTTCAGGCAGAAAAAAATTGAGCATCAGAGACTTAATTTCCTGCATTCTGTTAAATGTAATGCATCGATTTGAGCCTTTTCTGCATCAATTTATGGTGTAAATGTCTTCAAATTTGTCAAACTAGAAGTCCTCTGCTGCTGTCATGTGGGGGTGAGGGGCAAATGCAAATGTTCTAAATGTTGTGAATATTAAGTGAGATGTGACCCCCTCCCCCTCTGAATCTATTTGCTGCAAGTACATGTAATTTGGTTAAAGCACAGTCCCAGTTATCAACATTGTGTAACTGGGTTGGAAATCTTATTGGATGAAACAAATATGTTAACCAATCCACTCATATGTTTTCCAAGCTGAAAGACAAACTTCAAAAATACAGCCAGAGATCATCGGAGAGAGACAGCCAGTCAGCTCTGAACAAACCAGTTAATGGTTAACTGTCAAGTGGACTGATGTCTGGTCCCAAATACAGAAAACAGGCAACATGAGCTGCAGCATGACCAGCACAGCATTTTAATCTGTGTGTGTGTGTGTGTGTGTGTGTGTGTGTGTGTACATGTGTGTGTGTGTGTGTAGAAGAGGGGTGAAGAATGAGCACAAGAACAACAGTGTATGTAACATGTGCACTCACCCATCTTCCCCTCTGTCACAACTTTCTCAGCATACATCTGGATACAGTAGGAAGCAGACAGCAACAATAGAGAACGATGTATCTCTTTCCTTCCTTCCTTCCTTCCTTCCTTTCTTCCCTTCCTCCTAGTCTCCTTGACTCCTCAGGGCAGGTGGTCTGAGCCCTTGGCAGTCACTTTTGCCTGGTAATATAATATTGAGGATCTTAAGTGAAAAACAAACACAATATTGGAGGTAAAATGTACATTTGTTTCAATAAACATCTGTCAAAAAGCTAACCAGATAGGGGTGGGGGGGTGGGGGGGGGGGAGAGAGATCACAATATTTTGCATGAGGATACTGTATCAATACACGGACATCAAGTACTAATTTCTAGTTACAAAAAGTATTAATATTGCAAATGCAAACCAAGCTTTTGAAGTGAGATGAACAGACTGAAAACCTAATGCTATTTGATAAAAATATGTTGATAAAATTTTCCTTTGCAGACAATTTGCATTTAAAAAAAGATAATATATTGCAATATATCGCAATATATGGTATCGCAATACTCGATACTGCGATAATATTGTATCGTGACTTGAGTATCATGAGAGTATCATATCCATATTGTGGGGCCTCTGGTGATTCATATCCCTGAGTTAGACAGACTTATAAAATATAAAGCTTGAAAAGTTATTAAGTTTAGGTCTGCTACATACTATAACACTAATTCATAATACTACACATACTCACTATAACAAATAATATTGCTTAAATTTTTGATCGATATGCTCTGAAGTACAAACAGGTTACATCACAGGTTTGTTTCAAAGCAGTTGTTTTCGCTTTGTGTTTCGTTAATTCACACACACACACACACAGACACACACACACACACTCACACACACAAAGACCCACCCATCCAGATCACCACATCTACTAACAAGCTCTCATAGTGTAATGTAATATTTCTGAGATAAAGAAACTTACAGTGAAAACACAATTGTATTAAGTCTATGTAATAAATTATTTTTGTAGTAACAGTATTCACTGTCCTCCAAACAGGAGGTCACAGACATACATGTATGACACCACTGGGAGCAAATGGTCACAGAGGCATTATTATAGGGAGTTAAAGTGTATCTATAAAAGCTATATAAAACTTTAACTCCTATTGTATATCAATAAGCAGTGCAATTTACAGGCAACAATATTTTAAACGCCTGTAAAATCAATATAAGTTAGACTGCAGAGGTCTTAAGATGGAGATGGTTGAACAGGCTTAACAGATTAATGAGCATTAAAAAGGTTCAGCACGATAAACTGTAATGGTGACGTAAATAAAATTATATAAACTGGCTACTTTATATTTAATTTCAAACAGCTACTAAAAACCTAGTGTTCATAGCCTAGAGCCAGGTAAACTTTAAACATTTAATGGTACTAAATTAAGCAGCTAGCTCGCTAACAGTGTCTTTTCAGAGTCAGCATGAAACTACAGGACTGAAACAAGTGACTCACCTGTCTTTTCTTGCAGCAGGTGGATTACTGGCCTCCGTTAGTGACAAATATCTTTCTTTAGTCCGCTTTAAAGAATAATAAAAGGCCCAAAAACACTTCAGCCTCGAAGACAGGCGACAATACTCTTTAAACGCCAGCACAGATAAATCCCAGTTTGCAGTAAATCCTTTTTGCTCTCTTCACAGGTTACTGACCCCAGAGAAAGAAGAAGGGGAAAAAAAGAGCAGCAAAGTTTCCAGCGACTGTTTCTATCAGCCAAAACCACCGACGCCCGCTTCTAACAGAAAAGAGAGAAACATTTGGAAGACTGGACTAATTGAGACAAAGTGTAGTGAAAGTTTATCCCAACTTTTGTCGGTTAGTGTGGTGGTCCTGTGTGCGGTCAGCTGCGCAGACGAGAGGGGCGCGAGTGACGTCAGCTTACGTTACTGAGTGGACAAACAGGGTGCGAGAGCTCTCAGGCTGTCTGAGCATGCAGACCTGCTGCAGGTGTACACACTGTCCTATACTGTGTTAGTAGTTATATTCATATACAACTCAACAGGGACTTTACTGATTTGCTGTTTTGGTTTTTACTTTTAGCAAGTGTGAGTCATCATCATGTCTCTGTTGGTACAACTGAGCCAGTAAACACATACAGTAACCCTCAACACTCTCACACACATACAGTATCTATGTACAGTAGGTTCCCTTTGCTGACATGAAAACCTAGTGATCACTCTAGTTCCTCATTGGCAGAGAAAATAAAAAGGAAGCTGGACAATGTGACCAGTAAGTCTTTGTATTTAAGGAAGACAAAAAGCCACATCACTGACTTTAGAGAGGGTAGACTGGATCACAGAGTCACAGAGTGAGGGGAGAAGGAGACAGGAGGTAATAGAAGGAGTAAGGCCAGGAGACAACAACAAAACAAGCAACAACTACAGCAGGAAGAAGAACATGGGTGGACGAGTGGCACAGAGCTGCTGGCTGCTGCTCACACTCTCTGTGGAAGGTAAGACCCACATTTAGCATTGTGAAGAAGGTATTCGTCCTGAGTTTCAACACTGACTGAACAGAATTAACTGGAAGTGTGAAGTGACATTAATGTGGCATAAAATTAATCTGTAAAATAAAATTATAACAATTTTTTGGAAAAAAAAATACCCCATTGTAATGTAACTTGGTGGTTATGATATAGTAACTTGCTATATTACGTTTCTCTCAGGTATTCTTGCAGGTGATTGGTCAGTTCATCTCCCCTCGGGTCCTATCTGTGCTGTGACTGGTTCCTCTGTTGTTCTCCCTTGTTCCTATGACTACCCCCAAAGTTCTAATGAAACCGAGAAAGAAGGACGGCTCTCTGCTCAGGTTATTCAATAAAGAAGGCATTGTTAGCAGTTCCCATATATCCTGCAGTAACTGGACGACTTCCTCTGCCAGGACTCAGATCTGGAATCAGGGTGAATAGAAATGTGCAGCTACGGGGGGGGATGGGGGGTGATTGAGGATAACTGCATTCAACTATTTTAATCTTGCGCTTGATATTTGGGAAGATTTTTTTAACATAAAGTCAGCCTAAACACAGCATCTGCTATTTTACAGTATACTTTATCCCTTGTTCAAAAGCTCCTTGTTTTTTATTTTTAGCTACTCTGTTTATTTTTCTCTATTAGGGTGGAGGAGGAGGACAGTACAAAGTTTTGTCTGAAATGTGGTGTCTCGAAGACAGTCGTTGCCTCACATCAAGGTATTGTTTAAAACGCACAGAAACTCATAGCACAGGGTTTAAACAAAGTATCTAAGTCTATCTGTCTGTCTGTCTGTCTCAGATACGTCTTCCACAGTGATGGTATCTTCCCAGATCCATCCTACCAGAACAGGGTGGAGTACCTGGGACAACCCGGAACCAGAAACTGTTCTCTGAGGATTTCTGATCTGAGGCAATCGGACAGCGGAGCGTATGTGTTTTACCTCATCACCAGCCACCCGACAGAGAAGATGCCAGAGCAGAGCGGTGTACAGCTGCTGGTGGCAGGTGGGAATATTTCATTTACTCCTAACACTACAACTGATCATAATCAACATGGTCAGCACCACCATAATCATAACCGTCAACATCCTTCATCATCATCCAGAAAAGCATGATCATCACCACGATCATAGGAAATTATATAACAGTGATATAAAGTTCAAAACAGCATCATCACATCACATTACAGCCATTTTTTCCATCATGGTGATTTTTTTAATAGGGAGCAGATTTCCATCAATGTGCCTTGATTTTCATCCATAGTTCACATTCATCTCAAGGTCTTAAAAAAAGGTTGTTTCAAACCTGTTTGCACGGACCAGCCCCAGTACACAAACCACAAAGTCCTTATGTTTGTCCTTCCTCTATTTTGTGACTGTTTAAATCCATCTTTTTGTCTCATGGCACACTGTCTTACTGCCTGTCTGTCTTCATACCTGTCTGCCCGGGAGTAACTGCCCTGTTACAATGACAGCGTTGAGTGGAAGCTGGTAATTGTTCAAGAAACAACCATAAAACTAAGAATATTATGTAAAGTGTTGATGTTTAGCACCAGTACTTGAATTGCACTTCCTTATGCAACTCTGTGTCTGAAGGCTTGTGCTGTTTATGAGAAGTAGAAGTGAAACTGACCACTGACAGCATATAAATAATGTATAAACTCAGCCTGACATAAAAACCTGTTCCATGTCAACTAACAGTTTTGATTCTGATGACAAACATGTAGGGACAGACTGTGAACTTGCTGAACTTAAAAAAGAGGGGATTTAGTGTAATTTAAGGTATTAGAGCGTAGGTGGGTGGTGTTGGGAAGTGTTGGTGTTGCTCCACCAGAGAGTTATTCTTGAAAAGTTATTGAGAAACGTCTGTGTGAAGTCACACTCTTGTTGTTTTCTTGTTTTTGTCTCTGTTGCCACACTGTGTCATGCTTTGAGATTAAACACAGAGAAGTTCTGGCAATCTGTAGGATGAACAAAACAATAAATAACACTAGAATCCAGCAGAGTTTTTTGCGAGATCTCGCAAAACTTTCCTTTAAGTAATGTACTTCCAGGTCAGTTTGGCCCATAGAGACTGCAAACAAACGCAACAATGGAGCACATTCACCCATGGGAGAGGCTCATAGAGTTTTATTTTGACATTGGCCTCAAATATAAAGACATTAAATCAGTGCTCACGAGTAAACACGGTTTTCATGTAAGTGAGAGACATCTGAAGTGACTACTTAACGCAAGAGGACACTTTCGTCGAAAAACATTCTGTGACTTGGCAGTCCTGATTGAATTCATTAGCAACCAAATACAGTACTCTGGACAGCTTCACGGTTACCGGTGGATGTTTGCTAAATGCAGAGAACATGGACTACGAGTGAGGAAAGAGGATGTGCGCTTGGTGTTGAAGGAACCGTGTTTACTCGCGAGCATTGATTTAATGTCTTTATATTTTACGGAAGCGCATTGCATTCACTGGATAAAAAAAAATTAGACACTTTTAGACAATTAGACAATTATGAGAAAAGATCTCGTAATTATGAGATCAGGATCTCATAATTACAAGATAAGGATCTCGTAAGATCTCGCAAAACATTTGCAATATCTTGCAAAGCTTTTGCGAGATCTCGCAAAACTTTCCTTAAAGTAATGTACTTCCAGGTCAGTTTGGCCCATAGAGACTGCAAACAAACGCAACAATGGAGTGCATTCACCCGTGGGAGAGGCTCATAGAGTTTTAATTTGAGATTGGTCACACACACACACACACACACACACACACACACACACACACACACACACACAAAAGCTTTTGCGAGATCTTGCAAATGTTTTGCGAGATCTCGCAAAGGTACTTTTTTTTTTTTAACCATCTATTTTTTTTTTCCCTTCCATGTCCCTTTAGGGGCTCGGTAGCCACTGAATGTTTAGAGGAAGAAAAAAATCATTACTGGAAAAACATTTTCCAGTAATAGCAACACCTTTTAGCGTAATGTTAAAGGGAAACTTCAGTATTTTTAAACCTGGACCCTATTTTCCAATGTTTTTCTGTCTTAGTGACTATCCATCCATCCATCCATCCATCCATCCATTTTCATAACCGCTTATCCTCTTGAGGGTCACGGGGGAGCTGGAGCCTATCCCAGCTGACATTGGGCGGGAGGCAGGGTACACCCTGGACAGGTCGCCAAACTATCACAGGGCTGACACATAGAGACAGACAACCATTCACACTCACATTCACACCTACGGTTAATTTAGAGTCACCAATTAACCAGCATGTCTTTGGACTGTGGGAACTGTGGGAACCAGGAACCCTCTTGCTGTGAGGCGACAGTGCTAACCACTACACCATGCCATCTGTCTTAGTGACTAATGGAGACAAAAAAATTTAAATTTGTCCATTACTGAGAGACACAGCTGCAACTGCAGTAGCAAAACAGGCTGCAATGTAATCTGTGCACCTTCAATTTACGTCCACCAAAAGTGTTTGTTTTTGCCACTGATAAGCTCAGACTGTTATTATAGTGTCCAACATCAATATGGAAAAGACCCTACAGGCAAATTAAACATTTTTCCATCTCTTTTACTGGTCTGTTTGTTATTGTGGCCAAGTCTTGCTCAAGGAGAAGTCTCGTTCTGCAGTCTCGTGAGATGTGACTTGTTGCAAGAAAAACAATAGTAGATACATTAGTGAAGGTTGGAGAGAGGAGTGCCAGGAATAGGTTATTGTACTGGTGTACAGAAAGTGCAGCTTTGTTTTTTGTTTTTTTTTTTATCTAAAAGATTGTCATTGTCATGAGACTTTTCCATGACAGAGACTTGGTTACACACTGTAACAAATAGACCAGATCAGCGAAAGGTAGAGAAAATTCTTTCATTTCTCTATAGATTTGTTTCTATAATGTTTCCAAACACTTATAATAACAGTCTGAACCTGTCAGTGGCAAAAACAAGCACTTTCATTCATGGATATACTTTGACAGTGCGAAATTGCCCGTGGAGAATATACTGCAGCCTGTTTCACTGCTGCAGCTGCAGCAGTCTCTCTCAGTACTGGACCGATTCTAATAACTGTTGTTCTTATTGGTCACTTAGACACAAAAACATGTGAGAATAGGGTCCAGGTTAAAAATACCAGTGTTGGGGCGTCAGTGGCTTAGTGGTAGAGCAGGCGCCCCATGTACAAGGCTGTTGCCGCAGCGGCCCGGGTTCGAGTCCAGCCTGTGGCCCTTTGCTGCATGTCATCCCCTCTCTCTCCCCCTTTCACACTTAACTGTCCTGTCCATTAAAGGCAAAAAATATCTTTAAAAAATACCAGTGTTTTCCTCGAGGCTTGGACAGGACAGAGTTTATTATTTTATGGTCAACTAGACCCCACAGAAGTCACATCCTGAATGTGTTTGTTTTACTGAGAATATGTGGACCATTCTTATAATTAAACATACACACAGTGGGTTTTTAAAAGGCACATACAAATATCTTTTAGAAGCATACAGAAATGAGTAAAATGCAGCAGTTTAACTTTGTTTTTTCCACTACAATTGGGTTTTTGTGTTTTGTAGAGGAAAAAATGCCTTTGGAGTAAAATCTGAATCAAAATATACATAATAAAGCAAGTGAATGAATTCAACAGTAAAAAATATTAAAAAATAATAAAATAATCTTTAAAATTATCTGGTGGGTGGTTGGACTTTTGACCTCAGTATTTCTAAAATCCTAGCCAAGGCCCTGAACAGAGAGTGTTCCACAGTTTTTGGTCACAGATCACTCACACACACTTTCCCTCTTTCCTGACAATTGTTTTCTCCAGACTCCTCCAGTGCAGTCACAGTGTCAGCGAGTCCGTCCAGTGACATCACACAGGGTGAAGCCTTACGTCTGGCCTGCTGCAGCCCTGCTGCCAGTCCACAGGCTCGTTTCAGATGGTACAAGAGCACAAGCACCAGCCTGAGACATGCTGGACAGGTGTGGAACATCAGTGACGTTACATCTGATTACTCTGGCAGCTACTACTGTGAGATACAGACTGGAGATAATGTGCAGAAGTCAGCAATGCTGCCCATTGACGTAGAGTGTAAGTGAAGTTAAATCCTGATTTAAATTCACATTATCATTATTATTATAAATGAGTCGTTTAACTATTGCTGCGCTGAACATAAGTTAAGCAGGGTGTTTCTGAGTGTTTCAACAGAGGATTTCTTCATAAGCTGGATGAAGAAACTTCCCTGCACAGTTTCAAAACTGCAGTTAAACTTTGGTTTGATGAATGAGTGAAAAGCAGTCAGTGTTTTGACAGAATTTCACATGACTTGAAGTCAGGTGTAACTGACCTGTAATCTTTTTCCTGTTTAGACTCTCCTCGAAACACAGCTGTCTCCATCTCTTCTCATGAAGTGGTACAGGACGGACATCCTGTAACTCTGACCTGCAGCAGTGATGCCAACCCGCCTGTCCACACATATACCTGGTACCAGGGTGCAGCATGTCTCCCTACAGCAGACAAAAGCTTTTATCCAGCAAGAATATCCCCGGCTAGACCCACAGGAAGTGGCCTGACACTGCCACACAGCAGTTCCAGCATCACCACTGAGCAATGTGGGCAGCACTGCTGTGTGGCACGTAACAGACATGGATCACAGACTCACAGCGTCACACTCGCAGGTCCCAAAGGTAGGAGATGTACTCAGCACCAGGATGTTCTTGGTCCAAGGTCTAGCCATACACATGCATATTGTATTAAAGAGTGCTGCCTGAGACATTTGTGCTGGCTCTGATCCCTTTTCTGTCCCCGTCTGACTCTTCAGGAGACAAATCGTTGATCATTGGACTGATTGTTGGGGCTGTACTGGTTATTATGGCCATAGTGGCCATTGTCATAGCAAGGTGAGCTCTTTGCTTCTCTTACTGCCGATCAGTATTACTACATTGTCATTGTTTCTTGTTATATTTTCATCAGCATTTCAGCATCAGGAATTTTAAGAGATACCATTGGATTGGTGGATATTATAGTAAAAATAATGGATTTAAAACAAACAAACAGACATAAATCAAGCACCATAGTCACTGCTTCAGTACCCAGTGTGTAATACACAGCCCAACAAGAAGTAATACAGTGTCTGAAACCACTGGATGCATCATTCATAACACTGTGCATTCACATGGTTGACTAACTATATATTAATAATCCAATCTAGATGTGACTATAATGTGTAACTATGTGTAACTGATGCCCATAGTAGTGTGAATAATATCCAACGATCTTCAGTGTTTGGGTTACATAAAGTGTTACATGAATAAATGATTTATTATATTTCAAGAAAAACAATCAAGGAAATTAGCTTATACTATGAACAATTATCCTAAAAAAAGTAATCACATACAGAAGTAATCCCTCTTAATCATCACTTATGACCCATTAGAAGTGTGTAGCAGTGTATTTTTCTGCAGAAACTCTGCCCACTGCCTATGTTTTCTGATTTTCTTCTTATTTTGCTGTGATTGGGACTTTCCTGGGCTCAGTGCTCAGGTAAGTTTGGGGCTTTAAAGAAAAATGTAGCAATTAGGTGCCAGACTACAAGCAACAGGCATCCAAGAGACATAGTGCTACAAAAAATGTATATATAGGAAGGTGAAACGCTAAAGGAGAATGAATCTAGGGTTGTATTTTACTCTTAACGTCACTGGTGGGCATGTTAATACTATACAATACTGCATGGTATATTTTTAATAATGTAGATGCCAGTGATTTTTGATGAGTTATTTGTCTGTCCTTTCAGGAGCCGGAAGCCATCCAGACAGCAGTCGTATGTCCTCACCGAGACAACTGCTACAGCACCTTAAGGTCTCAGCAAGTCTGGGACAAACACCCTACAACCACCAAAAGCATAAGACACCTTTTTTATTTAATTACAGGAACTCCCTTGGACACTTGTATGTTACCTCCACGCCTCATATTGCCATGTAAACCTCTTTAACACAAGCACAGCCGCCTTCAAACCAGCATCAATATCACATGCTGTAGCACAGTTTGGCCTGCTTGAGGCCATGACTGAAATCATGTACACAGAATAAAAACAAGTCTGTTGATAGCGGCAATCACTCATACAGTGTGCGACAACCTGAAGATCATATGATGAGACTTTGCTGAACATTTAAGCATGCAGGACACAATTCTGAAACGTTTACTCCCTGGATTTCAATGCACTGAGCTCAACGAAGATGGGCTTTAAAGACTCAATGCTTAATCAGAAAACCAACAGAACTGAGGAGAAACTGTCTTTACTCTGTGGGCTGATGATCTCATCATTGGTTCCATTTGTTTAAGTGCAATTGTGCTGCTGTCAGGATTCAACCAAGCGATCTTCAAGAAAAGAATATTTATTAAAACAAGAAAATAGACTCTGTTGCCTCTTCTAATGACCAAAATCCTAGTTTGTGTTCTAGTAGGTTGAACTGCTGCAAGGGCAGATGTAAATTTGAATACATCCTCCATGGTTAATAACATATGAAGACCACATCCAGAGTTATTGTAAGGACTTGGATTTTAACAACACGCCACAGAGTGCACCCAGTACTGTGTAAGCAATGTCCAGAAACAGCTGGTACCGAGAGCCTGTTAGTGATGATGATGAGCCTGAAGATGATGATGCAAAATATGGACATAATGATCCAATTAAACGCTGTTGGCAGTGAGGACTGGGTCACATCTGTGTGGTTTTGAGTAAACTCTCCAGTGTGATAAGGCTCTAACAGATACTGACCAGAGCCTGAGGATGAAAACCAGGCGGACAGTGACTCTGACACCCGGACATTCATTTACAAAATGTTCTTTGATATCAACTCTTCATCTCATTAGTCTATTTTTAGAATTTTGCTTTAGTCTGATTTGTTATATTGGAGTGAGCTGAGCAAAGGGGTGCAAATGTTCTCTATTTTTAAAATGCTAATTAAGTAAACAAGGAAGTACAGTGCTTCATTTCCCAAATATTTAAAGAGACAGTGTCACATAATGTATGTGCATATCACTTGTTGTTTTCTTTGGCTGTGTTTACTGTTTAACATTTCTGTGATGTGTTAAAGCTGGAGTAAGCAGTTTTTATGTAGTTTGTTTTTTTGGTGTCTTTGGGCAAAAAAAAATCATTAAAAACTTTGAGTATATTGTAATTTAAGTGAATTGAGAGAAAACTAGACCTCTGCACTTCCTCTTGGCTCTGTTGTCAGGCTTTAGAAAATCTAGCCTTTGACAGGAGCCTTTGGCCAATCCCAGATCATTTCAGAGAGAGGGCGTTCCTATTGGCTGTTCTACAAATGCAGATGCAAAAAAAGGTGCAAATTGGTGCCTAAAAATTCTCCAGAGTGCAAGGAATTAAGAGTTTGACACTCAGAATTTTCTGAGTGCGGACCCCCAAACCCACCTTTCATGAGTTCCCCCCCCAGTGTTGAAAGAACCCCTACACCCTTGCCGCTATACAACAGCATCACAATTAAAATTAAAATTGGGATGACTGAAAGAGATGATTAATAAGCTACTTGTACAGATTACTATATGAAGCATATGTATATGCCTGTGCTCATCTGGTGGGAGAGGCTTAGGACAAAGAGGGCAAAGCTGCAGGAAGACAGCGTGTTTTCAAAATCTGGCTTTTTTTTTTTTCCTTTCCAGAAAACTGCCTACCCCAGCTTTAATGAGAAATAAGGTAGCTAGCAGTGCACATATTATAAAGACATTAATTCAAACATATATTCAGAACTTCTCATTTTAAAGCTGTTTTATGTGTATGTCATCTGGGATTTGTTTTACATGCATTTAGTACTGTATACTGAAGAGTAATACCAAGATTTACAAAGTGTGTGATAGCTTAGATTGAATAAAAAGCTTTTTTAACTTTACATTTTCCAGCACTTCACTGCTTAAAAAGAAAACTGCCTTGGAAACATGTTAATAACACATTCTTTAATAAAAGGATGAAAAATAATTAGAAAAGTTGTCAATCAGGAGGTCATGACAAGAAAGCCTTACAAAAACATAATCTATACAGGTATTACAGCAGAAAATTTGAAATGCTTGTTCTTGTGCAGGTGTGAAATGTGTTAACAGGTGTCACTAGTTTTCACCACGAGGTACACAATAAGATAATTAAATAGTGATCGATCGCTGATTATTACCACACTGACCAGAGTGCTGTCATCTGTGTGAGGCATACGTTGATCAGTAAACAGTGTGAAACAAACGTAAAAATGCATTGACTCTATAAAAGCTGTACTGTTGGTGTTGTTTTAATATCATAAAATCTTAAACCTTTAACCTCAATTCTTACTGTACTATGCTAATAACATTTGCAACATTTATTAAGTTTGGAAGAACATAATGTACATGAGTATTTTAAACACAAGGGGGCAGTATATCCTGGTTTGACCACAATGATCCTGAATACAGCCTGTCCATACTGAGCAACTCCACTGACACATAATCAGCAACAACACTTTCATGAGGAAATAGCTTGATGTAGTTACATTTGCAAGGTTGTGATTATTTAATTGATGAAATAAACATGAGTGATGTTTCTTGATAATGTTACAAACCATAACCCTTCTGTCTCCAGTGTCAGGAGAGGGAGTGAACGTTTACACAGACAGGAGTCAGTGAGGGGTGTTGCTGCATTTTTCATGCTGACAAACTTGCTGTTCAACTGTGTTTTTGGTGGAGCTCCGAACAGCAACAAACCACAGGCATTCTCAAGTCATGTACGGAGTGTAATGAAATGTCATCAGGCTCAGGTGGAGGCAATCTGCAGACATTTCCTTCTGTGTAACTTTGTTTTTGATTTTGGTCATGACGATGTATTCATAATCATTGCTGCTCTCCTGAAACATAACAGGGTAACATTTAGACATTTTGTGTTAAACTGTCGTCCATTTTATTTAAACAGAACCTGGTCCTTCTTACCTTTTCATCCACAACATTATTACATTTCTTCCTGCTATAACAATGAAAAAGAAAAGCATGTATGAACTATTTAACCTTTCATGACAATCGTACTATGAAATGTCACAGCACAGGAGTGTTATAAAAAAAGTTCTCTTACCATGTCAAGATCATTACAATTGTAGCAACACGGTGATTAAGACTGTACTAACAAGGGAAATGACATGGATACCTGTTGGTAGAGGTAGAAAAAACTATGTAAGAAATTAAACTTAAATTAAGATTTTTAATTATACTTCAGCAAATACATATTTTAAACAATGTAGTTGATATTTTTTTAAATTTCATATCACCGCATTTTAACAAGTAGTTTTGGATCTAACTCAAGATATATAATTGCATATGTGACCAATAAAATTTGTGTCCCTCAAATTCTGCCAGTCAGGCTAGTTTGCAACATTAGAGCTGTTATTCCTTATTAGATGAGCTGTTGACATATAAGTACAATCCCTGAACAGGCTGTAAGTGTATCAATAATCTATCTGCTTATCTTACCTGCATGCTCACTGTCTGTATTTCCCACTATTACTGCTTCTGACAGTGGATGCAGCAGCACCTCGGTTGAGTTGTTTCCCCCCACTGTGTTCCTGGCCTGGCAGAGGTAGAGTCCAGTGTAGGACACCTCCACAGAGGGGAGAGACAGCACCTGTCCTGAGCCCACATACAGCATGGACCTGAAACTGGAAGCAGTACCCCTGTACCAGGTGTAGCTGTCTGCTGCAGGGTTAGCAGCACTGCGGCAAGTCAGGTCCACACTGGTGCCTACTGTCAGGTTCGCAGGATAGCTCATCTCAACAGATACATTCATTGGGGGATCTGTGGTAAAAACACAGCCACTGTGCTGTTATATAAATTCACTAAGAGGCTGTATTTTTTTGTACAAGTTTTAAAAAATAATCATGGCTGATTCTGACCATTTATAGAAAAAATATAATTATCAAAGTGTATTTTACTCAAAAAAGTAAAGACATTTTGGAAAATATGCTTTCTCCCTTTCTCAGTGAGAATTACATGAGAAGACTGATGGGCCTGCCTCTCTCATGGTTGTAAGGTAAATACAAAGCTACCATCAGTAGTGGTTTAGTGGTTTGAAAAAATGCAGCAAATGTGCCTTTTGCATGCCCCTATTGTAGATAGAAGATAATAAAGTGCCCTACAGGGTGCCTTTTCAGCAGAGAAAATGAGATGCAGTGCCCTCTAGGGTGCCTTAAAATTAGCTACCAAGCATCACCTACTGGTTTGCAGTTTGCCACTTTGACGCCTCAAGTTTAGCATTTTTTCCGTCACCATCTTGGTTTTTTGGAGCCAGAAGTGACCAGTGTTCTGACCAAGAATCAGAGGACACTATTGGCAGACAGTCTGCCACTCAAAGCGACCATGCCCTCATTTATTTGTAATTTTAAGCCTTAATACAATATAAATGAGTGAGTTATATAAAAATTTCCCCCCGAGCAGTTGTCATGAACGAGGAAATTAGTTTGAGAGAGTGAAACCGTTTTTTTGTACCAGGCTATAAACATGATTATTTCTGCTGTAAAGTTGGGCATTTTAACATGGGGGTCTATGGGGGATTGTCTGTCCTCTTGAGCGGCCTCAAGTGGCCATTCAAAGAACTGCAGTTTTTGGCACTTGGGTTGGCTTCTTTTTTTCAGCCCCAGAGGTTGCTGCTTGGAGAAAACGTGATGAGCCTGAGTTCACCACTGATAAACAGTAGTAAGTATTTACCCAAAATGTAAAACTATTCCTCTAGGCACATGCACCACACAGTGAAATACCAGTGTCTCAACAGTGTCATAGTAAAACATACTTACACTGAACATCCAGAGACACAGGGTCAGACATCACTGACTCCTGTCCTTCAAAAGCACATACATAATTGCCAGCATCCTCTGCTTTAGCCTCAAACTCTGGTTTGGTTACTGGACTCCCATCTTTGAACCAGACTATGTTGGAAAGTTGGCAGGATGTTCTGCACTCAAGGGTCACTTTGTCTCCTGCTCTCACTGGGTCAGGGTGCACTCTGGCACTCAGCTCTGGACAACAATAAAGAAACAGAGAGCATGAGATTAGAAAAAGCTAAGAACAGTAAACATGAATAGTAACACTCCATGTAGAATAACTGTACCTGTGACAGTCAGGTGCACTGATGTTTTACTCCGCCTTCCAAATAACTCTGTATCAAACTTGAAGTAGTAATGTCCAGTGTCGTTAATCTGCAGGTCATGAATTGCCAGGCTGCAGTTGTGCTGTAGATCACCAATATATTCAGAACGATTCTGATATGAAGGAAGTTCTGAGAGCGCAACACGTTTCCAGCTGCCATTTTTTGATGCCCCTTTGAACCATGCAATCGATTTAACAGTTTCCGAATCTGGGTAGGTGTACGAGCACCCAAGCTTTACTGATGATCCCTTTAAGGCACAAGTGTTTGGGTTTTCAAAAGGCACGGACCAACCAACACCCGTAGTTCCTGCAGAGAGACCATGATATCAATTTATATGTTAAATTATTACTGTTTGTGCAGGGTTAAAAAAAGAATCAGAGGAAAAGGAGACATACTGCTCTGCAACAAATTTTCTTTAACTTTAGGATGGAACATGAATTAAAGGGAGTGAATTTATCAGAAAAGTGAAGACCATACATTTGTTTTCAGATGTGAAGAAGGTACAATAAAATTATGGGTTCTTAAAAGATAAAAAAAACAAACAAAAAAAACTGAATTTACAAGAAAATTTCCAGAAAATTCAGGCCAAACAGCCAAGTTATAAATGAACTAACCACACTTTATTGGCCCTTGTGGAAAACAAGCTTTAAACACAAAATTAAACACAGACCAAAATATTTTTTTCTGCAAGTTCTCTGCTGCCCCTGAAGCTTGAAATTGAGGTTCTAATTTTTGCAAAGTTTCTGGTCATTGGAAGAGGAGAAAGATTTTAATGAGCACATCAAAAAATGTAACTTTGTGAGGAGGGTGTCGGCCATATCCCCCGTGAAAAAAACATTTTTAATTAAAATAAATAACCCCCAATAACATGGGGTTGGCTATTACTTTAACTTTTGCTTGCGAGCTTGTTTAGAAACAGTAACCGAGAGTCCTGCATATACAGTGCCTATACCTTTAACAGATCATTTCATATGTATTCAACAACATAACAAAGTGCAATAAAAACAAAATGGACAGGTTATATAAAAGTAAATTAGATGATTCAGAATTATAAAGTAGTCTAGTTATGGAGGGAAGCAAAAACAAGTGACTTAATTTATGCATTTTAAAGAATAACACTTAAACGTAAATTGAAGAATTATCTCTCCTTATCTGACATCAGGATCAGAAGCACCAGCACTGCGATCATCTTCTCCATCAATGAGAAACACAAGATTTTGGTATGGATGTGAGTTTTAGAGATTTGATGAGCTCTCTCAGGGGGCATGGCAGCAAGCAGCATGGATCAGGAGGTGGAGGATGAGAGGAAATGAGTAAACTAAGCACTTCTGGGAATAAAATGAGAAGTTGTGAACGAGTGATGTTGGACTGGGCTGACAGAGAAAAAACATGTTCAAACGGGCAGGAAATACACTCCCAAGTGAAAAGAAAATTTGTGTCACAATGACACAATGAATGAATAGATTAAATATTGTAGCTCTTTTAGGAAGTGCCTTGAGACTGGGCTGGATATACAAACTTACATCTGAAACATGAGCATGACACCCCATGACTGTATATTATATTTGAGTGCAGGATGAGTCATGGATGGTAAAATAATATGTTACTGGGAAGTTAGATATATTTAAAAATAAAATATAATCTTTTTTTAAAAAGTACATGCAGTTTGTGGTACAGTTATTGTAGGAAGGATATGACTGTGGGCAAAAGACAGTTGATAACTTCACAAAAAAGAAGAAATGAGTCATTTTTAAATGGGGAAGTTGTGGCTGAAACTTCATTTCCATCTCACATCACTTTATGTACTGTCTGCATGCATTGTTACTTATATACATACATATACAGTACAGGCCAAAAGTTTGGACACACCTTCTCATTCAATGCGTTTTCTTTATTTTCATGACTATTTACATTGTAGATTCTCACTGAAGGCATCAAAACTATGAATGAACACATGTGGAGTTATGTACTTAACAAAAAAAGGTGAAATAACTGAAAACATGTTTTATATTCTAGTTTCTTCAAAATAGCCACCCTTTGCTCTGATTACTGCTTTGCACACTCTTGGCATTCTCTCCATGAGCTTCAAGAGGTAGTCACCTGAAATGGTTT